TTTACTTTAAGGATATATCTGATTTTCAATCATTTCCTATTAAAGTATTTAAAATCTCCACAAATAGGTTCAACAACAATGACAACTTAATTCAATGCAACTCCGAACAAAAAGTACTTCAAATGCTGGTATAAAAAATTATCACATAAATGACGCAAAATTAGTTTGAGTGTTGCCACTTATTTGAATGGCATAATTTGCACATTTTTTTATTTACAACTACAAATGCAAATAGAGGAATAGAAGAGATAACCAGCATTAAAAACACAAACATTTACCAATTTTTGAAAGCAAGTTTTTGGTCCAAATGGCGTTGACTGAATGTTGATGGGGATATGCCAACAAATAGCTAGCCAAACCTCAATAAAAACAGTTGAAAACAAAAAGCATCAAATGTTAAAATGCAAATGGGATCTCATCAGAGATTAGCAATTCTAATTGAATGCGGAAATTTTGTCATAAAAATTATATGCGGAAGACGTACATTCACATTCACATTCACAGACACATCAACATCAACAACAACTATCACTACTACCACTGCCAACCACTATGACTGGAAGAGTAATAATGACAACAACACAGATACTCAGATAAACAATGGTGGCTTGTATTTGGAAAATGAATGCTCAAAGCCACAATAACTGCAAATCATTTAAGAAACTTTGCTGAGTTAGAGTGGAATGTTGTTAGCTGACACGATATCCATTCCCATTCCCATTCCCATTCGCATTCAATTTAAGTGCAAATATGCAGCACTATTGCGTCTTTATGGCAAATTTAAAAATTTTTTTATCACAAATTTTATGCAATCGTCTAGTCGAGTTCACATTTCTCAACAAAAAAAAAAACTATATATCCTCAATTAATGGAATAAATTCCTTGACCGCCGTCTTAGACAAGAAAAGATGAAAATATTTCAGTTTGTGTACAAAGTTTGAGTAAAAACGCAAATTTCATCAATTATTCTCTGTTTGAGGTTCTTGCCCTAAGAACTGCAGCAGTGACGTAGAATTGCATGAAAATCTTTTATTATTATTCAAAGGGACCACCAAGAAATTTCAAGTAAGTAAAGAAAGTCTTTTATTTACTTGAAGTTGAGTAAAGATTAATGTTAAACATTATTTAAATCATTCAATATTTCAAGGAAGAGTGAGCTAGTGGCAAAATGTTACACATTATATATGTTTAAAATAATTGTATCGCATATTAATCTCTTAATCAAAAAAATTTTTTCCAATAAATCAGAAATACAGAAGTGCTATCTTGATTTTACAATATTCTCTTGGCACAGACAGTAAAGATTTTAGCTTGCTAAATCATCTCATTAACTATCGACCTCTTTTATTAATTTCTAATTTATATAATAAGAGATTTATTTTTTCAAAAAAAATATTTAAATAAATCAGATATATAAAAAAGTAGCCTAAATTTCAACTTACTCACTTCACCGGGTAGAACTAACCATTTTGTTTACTTTGGTTTAGAAAGCTTTAGCTTTAAGACCACTAATCTCTTCTATTTATCTTTGATCACTACAATAAGATATTTATTTCTTAGTGAAAATAAAAATTAATTAATCATAAAAATAAAAATTAAATTAAACAGAAATACAGAATTCTACAAACATATTTATAATCGGTAAATATTTCGATTAGTTCCCGAATAGTTACAATAATTTTTTTATATATTCGGCAAGTGTTTCGATTAGTTCCAGAATATTTTTAATATTTTTTATAAATATTCGCTAAATATACCAATTAGTTCTAATTAGTTTCCTTTTGCTCAATATTAAAATCAACACGATCTAAAATAATGTTAAATGAATGTTTCAGATCGTCGGTTGATTGTTGAATTCATTTGTTTAGATATATAGAAGTCCCATAGCATCACATCAGCTAAGTACTATAAAATAAATAAACCAAAATAATAGTACGTTATTCGGAATTTAATTTCGTTTATTTTCAACATTGGGTCCAATTGTTTTATATAATATAAAATCCTTGCAGGATTTTTGATATATATTCCTTCAACGAGTATCAAAAAAAAGGTGTTACTTCTGTTTTCATAATATATAGTATATAAAAATTTTAATAAGAAAAATGTGGAATATTTTAATACCTTTCTTAATATGCTCAGATGGGATTTAAATGGAAGCGTTTTCATTTTAATCTTCCATCAAACAATACAACGATCAAGTCAAAACTGTTAACAGCTGGACAAAGGAAATGATTTATCTAAAGAGAAAATGCCAGAATTGAACAGTAGAAAAGGTATAGTCTTCCATCAAGTTAATGTGAAACCCCTTACTGTCATCAGCTTGACAAATTGAATGATTCCTCTAAAGAGGAAATGACAGAATTAAACAATCGAAAAGGTATAGTGTTTCATCAAGATAATGTTAGATTCCATATTGTAATCAGCTGGACAAATGAAATGATTTCTCTAATGAAAAAATGTCAGAATTGAACAATAGAAAAGGTATAGTGTTCCATCAAGTTAATGTGAAAACCCATACTGCCATCAGCTGGACAAATTGAATGATTTCTCTGAATAGAAAATGCAAGAACTGAGCAATAAAGAAGGTGTAGTGTTCCATCAAGATAAAGCGAAACCTAATACAATTTCGGTAAGTCGCTAAAAGATTTCATTGGTTAGATAGGAGATACTGCTTTACTTAACATATTTCTCCAGATCAGACAACTTTTGATTATATAAAGCAAAAAATAGTAAAGTTAAATGAAATTTATTACAAATTAAATAAAATATCAAACGAATGAAATGCAGTGAACTAATATTAAATATCAACATATACCATACATTTCAATCAATTGAATCTTGTCCACTCAATGAAGCAATAAACCTTTGTTCAGAGCACTACTGCTTATGGAAGATGAGTAATACCTTACGACCATCCTTACTACATACATCTCACATGTCTGAAATTTAAAGAAAAAGTTTTAAAATAAATCTTTTGTATTGATAACGTAATTCGCTTTATTAAAATGTCATTTATTTATTATCTGCTGTAAACGCAATTATAGAAAAGTTTTTAAATTAAATCATAAAAAGAATAAATGAGAAAAATTGCCGCTGGTAAGAAAAGTATATGTGTCTGACACTGACACTGACACTGATTTTATATGAGTACTTGTCACATCCTACTGATGATGTCTTCATTATAAAAAGTCAAACTGTTTCAAACTTAATTTTATTTTGATGGTTGTTATCCTTGTTGGCAGGCAGCTGCATTAAAGGAGCCATGGGAAAATTTTTTTAAAAGATTTCTTTTTTAACGAAATTATGTTGAACTCAAGAATAAGAATGAGTAATGTATTAGCAATAAACCACATAATTGATTGATTTTTCAAATATTTAACAAATATATTTCTAATACTTTAATAAGAATTGTTAATAATCATGATGGCAGCCTACATCAGTGCACCCTTTCATTGCATTAATAATAAACAAAATCTATTGTCCAACAGACATCAGCATTTTTATATAATTTTATTAAGTTTATCCCTCATTTAACATTTTCAATGTTAATTTTTTTCCATATGTATTCTCACGAGGCTGGCAAAACGGAGCATTAGGATGTAGTGGCATTGTAGTGGTTGGTAGCATTGTTTTCAGGTTACATTATTTTGCTTACCAATGCAAATAGCAATCAAATTCAGATCATTGATTTCCATGCTGTTCCTCAAAGTCCATTGAGCATAACAATAACAGAACAAGGCCATAAAAGATATTAAGCCAAAACAGAGCATTTATAAAAACGTTATAGTAGTAGGAAAAATCATAAGGCACTTTAATAGTGTGTATTTAATGGTTTATATAATTTTTGCTTAACGCCCAATGAACTTTAATTACGTGATAAAAAATACTGCACGTAATGGGAATTTCATATACTTCTAAAAACAATAGAACAATTACAATTTAAATAAAAATTAAAAGCATTTGAGAGTACTTTAAATAAATGACAAATCTAAGTGTATTAAAAAGCACTTGAGGTCATTTTATTGTAATTAGGATAGTGTGTATAATATTTAGATCATCTGAGAAATACTATTTTATACCCATGGTATAATAAAATTCATCACTTTCCTTGTCAAGCTGCTTTTAAACAATATACACTTTGATCTATTTGCTAATACCATGTTCCCACTGCAGCTAAATTAATTTGTATTAATCATATTAAGATGTGGTCCGCTGTCATAACTTATTTATGCATGTCGATTGAGTTTTTATATTCCAGAAAGCTCTGTAGAAGTTATAGAAGAGCTTTTGTTTGCTTACAAAATTAAACAGTTCACACTTTGATCTATTTGCTAATACCATGTTCCCACTCCAGCTAAATCAATTTGAATTAATCATAATAAGATTTGGTCGTTTCCGCTGTCATAACTTATTTATGCATGTGATTGAGTTTTTATATTCCAGAAAGCTCTGTACAAGTTTTAGGAGAGCTTTTGTTTGTTTACAAAATTAAACATTTCACACTTTGATCTATTTGCTAATACCATGTTCCCACTGCAGCTAAATTAATTTGTATTAATCATATTACGATTTGGTCGTTTCCGCTGTCATAACTTATTTATGCATGTCGATTGAGTTTTTATATTCCAGAAAGCTCTGTACAAGTTTTAGGAGAGCTTTTGTTTGCTTACAAAATAGTTTAACAATTGATATTTACTTACTTATGTGACCATAAGAACCCATTACCGGATTTCGATCCGACGCAGTGTGTCTTTTTAGGCGCCTCTGCTGCGTGCTCACCTTCTACAGTCTCGTACATCAAGTCCTGTTAGTGTTTCCTCAACTTAATCACTCTACCGCAGATATGGTCTTCGTCTACGCCTTCATTCCTCCAACTACTGCTTCGAATACCTTTTTTGAACATTGGAAAAATTATAATCAACTATGTAATGGTTTTATAAATTTATATATAAAAATTTGACAAACTTACATTTTTTTAATAAAACATGAAATATTTCAAAATCTTTCAGTTATATTACGGCATATAGGCCAAAATTTCAAAATTAGTCAGTACTTCCAGATAAGAAATTTAGTTATGAAATATTATTAAGCGCTAATTAAGTTAACGGTAAGTTAAAAAATAGGTATTTCTTTTTTACAAAAGAATTTCGGATCACCTTTAGGATCATAGGAATTATCAAGCCAAATATTTTCTGCCAGAAATAAGTCAATTATTAGATGCTAACACATCAAATTGGTAAGTAAGTCACTGTGAATAAGTAATATTTCTTTGATATGAATACTTAGTATACCCATGTACATTATAGCAAGATATATTTATTAAATAATTACAGTGGTGTAAAAAAAAGGGATAACAAAAGAGTAGAAAATAATTTTGTTGACAGATTCTCCGCTCCCAATCGATAGGAGAACTGTAACAAAAGAAGAATAAAATAATAGGGGCATTAAAGTCACTGTAGGTCTCAACTAATTTATGCTTAGTTGTGAAACCACTGTGAAAACCACTATGATCATAGTAGATCTTTTAAAGTAACAACAACCTAATTACTTCTGAAATATATAGAGTAGACTAAATAGAATAGCATTAATAAGGTCCTATGACTACCGTCGATATCAGTACTGCCACCACGAAAATTTCTTGTACCTACAATTGACCCTAAATACAGAATATCGATAAAGGGCTCAAGCGTTCACTTCATAGGTGCATTGCAAATATACTAGATTTTTTATAGCAATAAATATTTTTGAAATATATAGAATAAAACACAATACAAAAATAATGAAAAATTCCAGGTCCCCTGTTAAAAGGATCATAGCGACTATAGTAGATTTTTAGTTCCAACACTGATTCTAAACAGTTTTAATATATAAAGAAAATGAAAGGTTGTGGGCTTCCAGTCAATAGGAGTATTGCGAACACAGATCTTTTGTGCTAATAATTGACCCAGACAGAACTAAACAGAATAGCAAATTGGTGCTAAAATATACATTATTAAGAATTTATAACAGATAACTTCCGACCTGGTATTTTTCTGCTAGTCGAGATTTAAGCTCCATAAAGTCCTATGATGAGAATATGACTAGATATGTTTGTACTCACAAGCAGATATTTCGTTACCCCTGACACATACGATAAAGCTGACTGCAAGTGGTTTCACGTGATTAATTAATGATAATTAATTTTTAAAGAATTTAAGCAGCTATATATGTTGTGGTTTACTACTGTTCGAAACCTCTCAATATTATACATAGAATATATATATAGTATATTTGACATCAAAGTAGTTTTGTTATTATTTTATATTGACAATGTAATAATATTTCAAATTCTTGTTATATTAGGTTAAATTTTAGGTAAACAAGGCAAAATGGATCTCAAGAGGACACTTAAAAATCTTGCATCAAAATCTGGTGCACCAGCTTTGGATTTAACTGGTAAGAGTAATTAATGGCTCTCTAAACAGAGCTTAATATTAGTTTGAAAGGGGACTTAAGAATTAATCTTAAATATTGTGTGGTATTTTCTATATTTTTAATTTTTTTTTAAAAGGACACAATTCATCCATTATAAATTTTTTTAATGTGTTTTCCGCTTATGTATAATCATCTTTATTAAAAAACTTCATATTTTGTAACTATTATTTTTTATAGGTCGTAACATCATAATGTATCCTGCTTCTAAATTTTGGTGATTATCTTAAAAGCAGCTTGGTAAGGGGTGTACTACATTATAGCGGATCGAAAATAACTATAACGTACAAATTAGATATATATGATCTACTTACCCTTATAATGTGTGCAATAATGATGACATCATCGATATAAATTATAGGCATAAACTATATTGGTAAGTATATTTTAATTGTATTTACAAATAAATATAGATAGGTTCTTGATTTGAATACGATATGTCACAATACAATATTCCTAATATTAAAGGATATGTATAAAAAAATATATGTATAAAAATATGTATATGTAGATATGTATAAAAAACACAGTTACATATTAGAACCATTTTTAGTGATATACTGCAATAATGAATAACATATACCTATTATACGATACTTAATTGATAGATTTATTTTTTTTACAGATAACAGCTTACTATATACAAAATTTTGATTCCCCTGCTAGCACTAGAGAGGAAAAATGTGGAGAGATAATGGTGATAAAATAATTTTTGAAATATTTACATGTTGTATATATAATGATTTTTTTTTTTATGAAAGAGACCAATCCTGTACGAATTCTGGAACTTTATTTTTTGTGACAAATCCTTTTCGTTAAACAATTCATATACGTAACATAAATAAAAAAACTAATATATAATTAAACTTAAAAATAAAAAAAAGTTATTTTTATTATTATAATTAAGGATATATATGCCCTATGATTTAAGAAAAATTTTCGGTCATCAAGTTCCTTACAGTACAATATCCCAGTTATTCAGACTATTCAGTACATTGACAATTGCTGTAGATTTCATTTCATTTAAACCGTCAGAATTTAAAATCACAGTCTAAAATACAGATGAAACCGATTATAACGACATTAAAATGAAACAACTCAATCCAGTCGTTGTAACCTATTGTCCTTATAAACAGTAATATAAATTAGAAAATTTTCAATTAGGGTCGGAATAATCGGTATGTCGATATTGGTATAAATGGTTACAAATTGTATGTGGATATATGACAGAACATATTTGACTTATATATAGTCGTTAAAAAGGTTAAAATGGTTTGATACCCATGATTAGTTGTGGGAAAACACGATTAGTCATTGTTTGTAATTTGATGGGCACGAGTTCTAAGCCTGGCATTTGCAATCCAACATTATATACGGACTATAGACTAATTAAATAAAAATTCGAATATTTTCTTAGATCACTGATGATGAGTACCAAACTTCAATACATTCATAAAAATTTTTGTTGTTTCTTCATTACTGTTCGAAACTTTTTAGTTTCTTTTCGTCATGAGACGTTTCAGATTCGACAAAACAAAAATCAACCTTATTATATGATTAGTTTAGAGTTTTCCATTTCATAATATAGACTGTTAAACAACCGCAGAACTTTTTAAAATTGTATATCAAATTTTCTTTATATATTAACAAATAAAATTGTCGCATTCAGGGTACTGTAAACCTTGTTTATAGGCTAATGCAGCCACAAAAGATTGCTGTATGGTGAAGTATTTGGTCCGGAGGTGTAACATGTCCTGCTCGTCGCTTTGAAAATGATGAAGGTTGGACAAAAATTGTTAATTCTGATTGCTACAATCACATGATAATTGATTTAATTGAGCGTGAAATTGAAGATATTGTTATGGTAGATTATATTTGGTTTTAACTGGACTTTGCCACATAACATGCCTGTTAGGGCAATTTGAAGTCAAAGCCATCAAAGCTTATGAACAAAGACCACATTTTGATACATACTTGAATAAATACGTGCATGATAGCAATTCAAATCGGAATAAGTTTATTTAGGAAATAATCTAAATAAAGTTTGATATATTTATTTACTATCAACCAGGTTTTCGTAACATTGTTTTAATATTAAATTTGAATTAAAATTCAATTAATATTAAATTTTAGTACTACCAACTTAACTCGCAAAATAGAAAAGTAAACATGAAAAGCCTTTAAACTATTAAACCCAACATGTTTTAAATTTCAAATATTCAATAACGAAAAACCTTTATCCATTCGCTACAGGCACACATAAGTCTCTAAATATTTTTAACGTAATTGCCATCACTTTGGAATAACAAAAGCTTATAATAAATTTGATTATATTAATTAATTTATTGTGCTATTATTGAAATATTGATATTTTGCCATAGTCCAGCCTTACTGTGCATGCATGAACATGTCTATACATGCACATCCACATAACTTTATTATCTGCTGCATCCTTAATGGTCTTCCATACTAAACATGATGATCCGATTGCTTGAATTGTAAATTGAAATTTTCATTTTAATTAATTTATGTCACTGCAGGGTGATTTTATTTTTACTATAGAAGACTGCGTCTCTTCTGGAATAGCACTGGGTATGTTCAAATGATATTTCGGTTAATATAATCGGTCATGAGGTTTTGACAGATAAATTATGAATTGCTTTGTCATATAGAAACTTAAATTAAGTGCAAAAGACACAACAGATTAATATATAAAAATATTATTTTAATGAAATATCATTCATTGTAACTTAAATCACAGTGATTTGATATGTGAAATCTGCTGGAGTTGTCAAATGAATTACTTATGTCCACTTAACACGCAGACGAATTGACAATTATGAAGATACGAAGATACGAGCTGAGAGTGACGAATTTAATGAAATCATAACGATTACCTTTAATATCACTGTGAGTATTAAATAAATTCAATGTAAAAGCAAAACAAATTGCTATTAGCTATTTATAATATTTTTTAATCAATAATTGTTGAATAGACTATTTATTATTCAATAATTAATGAAAATAATATTTAGGTTAGTTACAGATTTGAGTAAAGCATAGAATATAGAATAGAGTTCTCAGTCGTTAACAGGTTTAACAATTGATGCTCTTTCGAATCCAGTATTAAGTAGTTTAAAATTAAAAAGCAACTTTATTGTCTCTAGTAGATATATGGAATTTAAAGCATTTTGTTTTAAATAACTATATTAAATAACTAAAAAATAATTTCATTAGTATGTTAAGTTTAAGTGCTTTAAGTCACTAACTTGAGCAATTCATGACCAGAGAGATCTAGAGATCCAAAGAGTTCTACTACATAAACTAAAGGTTTGAACTGCAAGTTCATGTATAGAACTTATGTTCATGAAATTCATGAAATTATGCCTTAAAAGCCCATAGTTTCACTTGAGTCTGCAGATAATGGAAACGTAGGGTTAGGGTTTTATTAATATAATGCTCACACATCCTAGAAACTACTTAGAACAAGTTCCTAATAGTCTTATTATTAAAAAGGTCTTTACTCTCTCTTTGGTGTTACTTGAAGGCGAAAGTTTTTTGCACTGTTATGGAATATACGAGAACTGATAATATTCTAAAGAGAATTGTGTAGCTTTGAAAAGAGCTTATTCATAAAAGAATTACAGTAGTGGACAATTTATATAAAATAATACATGTACATATATATTTTTATAACTTAATTTTAAAATCATTGTATTCTTTTTTTTCACTGGGGGGCGAAGATCTGCAATACCTAATCTTGATAGCAAAAATATAACATTTTAGCTCTACCCATGCAGATCACAATGAATACATTCAAATTAGTGATCCAAGGAAAGTACTATGAAGTCTGCAGATAATGGAAACATAGGGTTAGGGTTTTATCAATATGATGCTTACACATCCTAGAAACTACTTGCGGGAACAAGTTCCTAATAGTCTTATTATTAAAAAGGTCTTTACTTTCTCTTTGGCGTTACTTGAAGGCGAAAGTCTTCTGCACTGTTATAATAAAATAATTAAAGATATAATTTGGAGTAGGATGTCTTACCCACTAAATACTATTACCGAATTGAGTTCCATTATCGAAAACCATCCTATCCGAATACGCCACTGTATACAGAAACAGCTTAAAGAAGCAATACCAACATTCTTTCTATTCGAAGTATGCTCGTATAGGTCATAATAATATCATAACTGTTATTAAAATGTAAGATGAGAAATATTTAGAGTAAAAATTATTTGAGACTATTAACTGCAATACAAAAATATCATCAATTAATCAAGATTCTTTTTGCCACCTTTAAAATAAGCCTAATTGAATGCAATATAACTATGCTAACCTTTGACCACATTCTCCATATATTTTTTATAGGCTCATATGGGTAACCAATTTGAACACTATCTCAGAAGTGGTTCCTTTAGTTTCCGAAAGATTAAATGTCATGTCATGTGGTTGCGGTACTTGGTGGATCATATTCAATAAATTTTTTTAAAAGACTCAGCAATGGCTTCTTGTCTTGCCAGAATATTGGGAATTTAAGTTCGAGGTCAAACTTCGATCTAATGGAGTAATAGAGTTCTATGGTATGCACTTACCGAGAAAAAATTACAGAAAAGAAGTTTCGTATGTTTAATTCGGATTATTTTTATACAGAATTTATTTATTTGTTTAAGCTAGTGAATGCTGAAATACTTCATTGTCACGAATTTTTGTATAACTTTTTAATATTATCTTAAGTGTGAAGAGAACATAGAATACCTTTTAAAGGTGATAGAGTAAGATAAATATGCACAGCTTTCATTGTTACCTTAAAACCATTTATCATTTTGTTAATTTTTTGTGAAATATTTTTTAAAAAATATTTTTTTATAAGCAAACATTTCTTCTTCAAATAAAATATCTTAAATTTATAATTAAATTTACATAAAGAGACGGTCACTCTGCCGCTGCGACTCACTTAGGCCTATTGGCTTCTTGTAATATTTTTAAATATAATTAAGGTTCATAATTTAAACATATAAAAAATCATTAAATCATGTTTATTTAGAATTGTGTAATGTCTCTATCACTTGATTTATTACTTATTACTAAACATGAGGTACCACCTATAACATATTTCAATCACAAATCACAATGAGAAATAATTACAGAATTTATTAAAATTTTATATGCATTTTTTGTTTATGCATTTTTGAATACTCATAATTTAATTTAATTTGTAATAAATTCAATTATTTATATACGATTACACACATTAGAGCATATACTAAAATGCAACAAATTGGCATTACTTCATTCCAAAAAGCAGAAATCATAACTTTTAATTAAGCTGTGAGAGATGATATATTGCATATAAAATTTATTATAAAATATGCATGTTTTTATACAAGGAAAAATATATTTAAATTAAGTATGAAATAAATATGAGTTATTTAGTTTATGAATTTTTGCAGTAACATAAATATTTTAAGTTAATTAGCTAGAAAATGATTACAAATAATATTTTAATTAATTTATGTATGCACATAATTTTACTGAAAACAAGCTTTTTTAATTGTTCTGACAGAATGGCATATATCATACAATGTAGTTGCAAAAAAGTAGTGATATACAACCCTTGTGGGGATCGAACCCACGACCTTTGGATTAGAAGTCCAACGCGCTATCCGCTGCGCCAAAGGGTCCATGTATCTATAAGATAAGCAGCATGATCATTAGCAGTCAATTAAAGAATTTAATCAAGAAAAGATCAAAAAAAGAACACAAAAATAATAAACAAAATTTTCGAATAAATTAAAGTCTGTTACAGCTGAGTAAATATAGATTTTAAGCTGTGAGTTACTAACTCCACAGCAAGTCTTCAGCAATTATCACACAATTTACACAATTTATTATAGATGATATTTTTATTTAAAAAGTTTGGTTCAAATTAAATTCTTAATTATTAAGCTGCTTGTTTGTCGCACTAAATGTTTATAGATGAGTTGAGTTTGATATTAATGTGAACATTATATAAATTTAAAAAAAATAATCTTTCTTACTCATAGCGTAGCCAATCAATATTTCAGTTAAAGTAAAAAAAATTCTTATAGCAAAAAATTGAAAAGAACCAAAATTAAAGCTTAAAACAAATGCTCAGCATTTCTTCATCTGAAACATTTAGAGCAGGAAAAACTCAAATTTGCGGATACCAATTTCCTGTTATAAAGCAAATAACAAAAATAAACCGAAGATTTTTCGTTACACCTACACTCCTGCGGAGGAATGTGCACAGGAAGCAGAAACCAGAAAAAACCGTTTTTAGCAGAAGCGAAAAAAAAATAGGAACGTTAATACAAAGATTAGGAAATCATGACGGAGCGATTTAATCAAAATCAGGAAATAGCATCGACCATTGATTTTTTTGCAAGCCAAATTCAGAAATATATATAAAAATTTTTACTTGAAATGACAACACACAACTTTAAGAAATCATATGTATTCGGAAAGAATAATACATGGCCTTAGTTAAGTTGAAGCTTTATGTTGTGCAAAAAACTCAAAAAAGGTATCTATGATGATAGAATTAGAGTATCTTTTAAGTTGAAGATTAAGAACCCGGAATTTTAATATTTTTCCATTCAAATTTTAAGTTAAAATCTTCAAACGTCCAAAAAAGTTATAAACTTCTTTTAGCAGATTGTTGGAATACCCTACACACTCCAATTGATATTTGATAGCATTTAATAAACTTCTAAGATCTGCAATTGAATTAAGTAAGATTGGGTTAGTTAATATTGCGGTCAATAGGTAGAGACTTTATGGATGTATTGTAAAATTGATTAAAACGAATTTTCTTTTCTTTTTTTCTATTTTGAGATACTTGGTAATTTAATGAATTTTATCAACTATTTTTATATAGTGTAGACTACCTGCCTTTCTGTCAACTATATATTAGTACATCGAAATACACAAGACTTTTTAAAAAGTGAGTATTTGTAGTACGGTAGTGATCTAAAATTATATGAATGACTGAAATAGAACCTTCACTGATGCACTGTTAAATTGCATAACATTTGTATGGATAAAAGTGAAGTTATTGCGTCCGAAGTGGTAGTATGTTTTTGTTATCGGTACAAATATAAGTATCGAACGAAGAGTATTTGTAGCACTTGGCCTGAAATCTATTGAATAAAGACTATAGGCTATATTTCTTATAATATGTAGTTGTTTGAGTTGGTCTCAAACAGAATCACGGTTCTTTTTTATAGGTGATTTATTTGCTGATATTTTCTCGAGCTGAGCTCCAGACAACTGTGGTCAAGAGGGTTAGTAGTTACAAGTCTAAGTTTAGCTAAGCCAGAAGGTGACACCAGAAGGTCTGTGGTGACACCAGATGGCATATATTTGTTTTATAATGTAGTGTGCAAGCAGAAGGATTAAAAGTTGCTTTGGAAAACAAATATATTAAGAGTAGTTAGGTGAGGCAAGAGACTGGAATTGTAAGAGAATATGTTCAACGAAGAGTCCCACGTAATTTTTAAATATTTTAAATAAAAACTTAAATATTAGTTTGACATTTATAAATAAAAAATTTGAATCCCGACAAATCAGAAGATGATTATTTTATTAATTGCATTTAACCGCTATTATTGTTAAAATACTTTTGTCCAGAACAGTAAAAAGTAAGGTAAGAACTATTAAGAAAATGCAGACATCTATACTCTAGTTGGTCTCTCTGTATTCGAAAAAAAACAAACGATCTCATTGAAATGCGTCGATCTACCTATAATCGAGCTTATAAACATTTTTATATTTCGTTTTTGTTATTATTATAATTTTAATGTACTGATGTTATTTATTTTAAACTAATAATATTTTTTGCGATTTAAATATTAATTTAATTATGGATGTATAATTTTTTGTGAATTTGAAACATTTTTTTAATTGATCAAAACACAAGTTACATTTATAATACAAATATACTTAAATTTATGTTAAAACTGAAATATTTCACAAAGAATAATTTCTTTAACTGTTTGTTAATATAATGTTGAGTATATAATCATGTTAACATTAAAGAAATATTAAGTAAATATCATAAATATATATAAACAGAATATTACAGTGTTATATGCAATAAAGTATAACAGTATAACACTTAACAGTGTAACATTTAAATTTCAGCATAAACAGCATGTAATATATGAGGAAGAATATTAAAGCTTTGCTTCTGTATGTTGGAATAAATATGCAATATTCACATTGTTTACATTAACGGAAAAAATTATAAGCAATTTGAAAACAGAGCATATGAAGGTAAGTCGTTGTTGTTGCTTTTACATTATATTATAGTAAAACACGTTTCAATTTCTTTTCATTCTTGTTTGTGATCCCGATTTTTATGCTTCTAACTGGACTTCATTTGTTCTATCAGTTCGATTTCGGTCACGGTGCAAACAATAAATTCGGTGGTGACATTTTTTAATTAAATTTGGTTTTAATAAATATTAAAAAAAGTATATTTTATTACTTATTATAAATTTTTTAAATATTTGTAACAAAACGTTATGTGAATTCTATATCAATTTAAGTTTGTATGTTACATATAATATATATTCCTAAAACAAAAGCATAGTGAAAAATTGCAAGCTTAGAATATATATGAGAATAAAGTGGAAATTGAAATGACATTGTTGAAATATAAGTTTGATAAAATTATTAAAGTTTAATAAAAATAATATTTATATTTGCAAATAATAATATTTCAAATATATAAGTGAATGTTAAAATTTGCAAGTTAATATAATTTAATATGGTCCTACATAGTGGGCTAAAAAATTGTTTCCATACAAGAAATAAATAAGATGCACTACATACATACCTACATACTTAAAAAATGCACAGCAATAAATTATAAAATCTGCATACTTTAATTACAATAAATAACTGAAATTTGGTAAGTATTTTATTTTACTTTTTTATTACACTGAATTACTATTTTGAAATGAAAATGATATCAAAGAAATAACAACTAGAGAACAGTGGTATTGAGCTTAGGGCTCTCGTTGTTTTTGTAATACTTTTGCAAGTGCCTGCCGCTGTTTGTTTTGTTGTTTTTTGTTTTTCTATGCTCGCGGTGAATATGCGGAATTATTATGTTCTGTGTTCAGTACTTCAGGTACTGTTTGTTATGATTTATATGATGAGGTGAATTTATGAAGAACTTCAACAAACTTTGTTTTGGTGAGGCCTGGGCTTGGCTTTCAAATAATATCAATCAGTTTAAGAAATTCTTATCGTATTAAGCATTCATTAATAAGGAGTATGTATAAGCATAAGCATAAATGTAGTTATTCGATTTATTTTACAGGGGTGTCAAATTCACCAACACCTACTCTAGTTAGATGTCTGAACATAAGCTTTCTTCATACACTGTAAAAAATAAATACAAATAATAAAATCAGTTTTCGTTATAATTCTGATTTAATTAAATAAATTTTAATTTAATTTAAAATTTATACTGTTAACTTTAGTCCATTAAACATTTAATAAACTTAATTAAGCTAATGTAATCCAAAACTCATAACTATAGTTTATATTATTTTTCCACAAAATTAATTTTCGGTTGACTTCTAGTGTTAAAAAATAAAATTATAATATAATAATTTTATATTAAGAGATGGTGTGCCAAAATTTATTAATCATGCTCAGTAAAATAATATTTAGGTATTTTTTTTTTATTGAAAATTTAACTTGTTAAATGGGATTCATACAGTTTTACACAAAATTAATTTTGAAATTTATTTAAATATATATATATTTATATATACTAACAGTAACTACTTTTATATGCCTTATAAGAAAATAAGTTTTAATATTGACTTATGCATAAATAATTTTCATAAGTAAAAACCTAATCTCCTAATATGTGAAATTATTGGGTAAAAAGTTTAAAACCCAAAAGTTTTGATTGATATGTGCCTTTTTGGGAAGAAAATTCTGCGTAGAAGGTGAATTATTATATTACAAATGTAAAAGGACAAAAAGTCAAAATTTCCATATGATTTATTATAATGCATATTTAAACATTTAGAAAAAGTTTTTCTATCGAACTTACTAAAATATTGAGAAAATTTAAATTATACAGGACTATTAGGTAAATTGATTAAGTTATTAAGGAAATTGGTATTCGTGTTTATTATCCTTATGTAAACATAAAAACCAATAGGTTAAAGTGGTTTGAAATTATATTATTTTAATTAAAAATCTAATAATTTAAAAGTATATCATACTAAATCTTGTTAAAAAGAAAAAATATATTAACATAACATTTATATATGAAATGAGTTATATAGTAAACTTATATAAAACAGTCAAAAATTTAAATTTTTCATAATATCAACTATATCAGTTTATTTTTCAAATATGTGATATTAAAAATTTTTAGAAAAAATATTTGGCTTCCTCTAAATTCATAGAAATAAATAAAATTCTTAGTTTTATTAATTGTCCCTAAACCACCTGCAAAAATGTTTCCATCAAATAAAAAAATTATAGCAGTTAAAGAAGAGGCCTTGCCACCTAAACAGAGTAAGTGCTATAAAAGCAAATAACTATATATGTATAACTATCTGAAACTATTAATAAAATTCAATAGATGTACATCAATTATTAGGGGAAACAGTTATTGAAACCTACCAAGATTTTCGCACAACCATTGAGAGTCAAAATATTAGTGTTTGCAAAATTTTACCAAATGGTAAGAAGTTGTATTTAAAAAAAAGTTTTATCTATTGAGAGCGTATAAACCAAAATTTTATATACTTTTAAAATGCTGAACTAGTTCGTTGCTTTGATTATTTAGTAAATTCTTTGTTTCATATAATATAAGAATTGCTTTTCAACTTAGTCGAAAACTTGTGGCACAAATAAAATAAATTAATTTTAGGTCAACGTATTGAAGTAGATTCAAATCAAGTCCCTACCCAAGGGAATATTGTAAATCTTGGCAATACAACCGTAACTCCACAATATGTCATTAATCAAAATATAATTCCCACTGCAAACTGTCTTGTACCAAACGAACAACCCTTACTACCCAGAAAGCCAACGCTACAAGAGTTGCTTTCTATTGAAAATCGTTTACCAAGACCATCACCTCCAGTAAGTAGAATTTGTATATTCATATGTATATAAATTATTAAGTATGTTATCCAATTTATGCAGTTTCCATTGACATATTCAGTAGGAACGTCAACACATTAACTATCTTAATGGACATGTGTGTTGTTGTAGTGCTTAAGTTTAATAAAAGGTAAACATATAATTTATTTTCAAATTATAATTAACTTTTTAAGGAGAATAGTAAAAGTATTTTGAAATTATATAGTGGATCAATTAAAGTGAGACATGAACAAATAATTCACATGAAGATAATAAGGACAATTGTACGATTTGAACTGTATTCACTGCATTTTGTTAATCCATTTCACGCTCTCTGGTTCTCAGTTTGAATATATTTAAAGCAATTTTGGCCATAAAATTTCATGTAATAAAAAATAATTCATTTAAATAAAATCAGCTGCAATAATAATTACTTATAATTTTTTATAAAAAGACAGTCAGTTTTTCCAGTTCACCCGAAGTCAGATATGCGATAAAAATATTTTTTCGATATAATTTTCAGTATCAATTTCTAATTGATTGAGTGCAATGGTAGACCATTAAATAGCTTCCAAGTATCTCAATTAGCGGTTTTTAGCAATTACTCATCATCAACATATTTTCTATGACCACTGATGATGAGTACTTGAGTACAATAGTCGAAACAACGTTGTATGAATAGTTAAATTTCAAAAAATTAACTAAAATTTTTGTTGTTGTTATTTCATATCTGTTCAAACCATTTTAACTTTATTAGATTAAGTTTATGAGGTCAAGGATATTAATTATCTTTAACCCAAAATAAACATAACTAATGCTTATTCTAGAAATCAGTGAAAGATATAAATTTACTTATGACTCTTCGTAGACTTCGTAGAAAACAGTTCATATACATCAAACAAGCTTTTTATTTTTATTATTAAGAGAGGATGTGGCAGTACGACCCTCATTTTTATTGTGCCCCCTTCTGGGTTTAAAGTAACGCTCTTTCGTAAAGATATACATTCTCAAAATTTTGTCCGTATGTGCATTAGCTTAAAACATTCTAAAAGCATATGTGAGGCCAACTCATCGTGTTCTTCGTAGAATCTACAGCTTGCATCCGTATATATGTCTAGTCTCGTAAGGTGGTGTTTAAGTTTACAGAGTCGTGTTAAGATTTCTTTGATGATTATAAGTTTTTCTTTTAATAAGTCCATACAATCCTGGTATCTTCTATAGTAATAGATACCAATAAGTGATTTGGATTGTGAATTTTGGTAGATTATTCCAGCATTAGTTTCTGTTCTGGTTCTCCTTCATTTATATGAGAAAGAGGAGTGTACTGTGTCCTAGTCCGCAGAGAATTTCTGGTCCTATCGCGGTCAAACAAACTTAGCTAGAAAAATATTTCGAAAAATATTATATCATCGCAAGCTTAGCATCGATTTCAAATTAACTGTATATTTATTAACAAAATGTTTATTTATAAACAAACTGTTATTTATACACAAACTGCCTATTTATAAACAAATAGTGAGGCCGTCGTAATTTATTTATGGCTAGTTATAGTTAGCAATCCTAAAGTTACACCTAATTTCATTTAGTAACGGCAAATACACAAAAGGAAAAGTGAAAATTTGTTAGTACCTCATGTCGATAGACTTACATGGAGATCTCCATAACAAGAGCTTTTCTATACTCATAAGCTTCGAGGCAGTAATACTTATCAGAATCATGGAACTGTTCTTCTTCGCAACGTCCATCGTTACTTACAAATAGCGGACATTGGCACAATAATAAATTTAAAACTTACCGAATGTGAAGACATTCTAACTCAAAATATATATTAACTCGTTGTGTTGCTGTTATTAATAAGTTTGTGACTTATTTGCTTTATATATAATATTATTTATATAAGCTTTCTTGATAAGTTTAGAAAAATTCTATCAATAGTCTATGATTTCGATGTAGATATTTTTTGCTTTTGAATAGTTGTATTTATTTACAACATTTTTTGTTTATTTTTATTTGTTAAGAAAAAAGATGCTTTAAGCAAAATTAAGATACTATAATGGAAATCATTGACATGTGTATAAGTACTCAAAATGGTTTGTGTTCCCACTTTCCTTTATATGTCCTCAACAAGCGATTATATAAAGTTATTCACTAGAACAGTTGCAATGGGTTTGATTGCTGCTACCAATTGCTTCTTCACCCACATTTTAACTCCTTGTTATTGAAACATTTTATGCCATATGTGCCTTATGGCCTTAGGAAATGTCTTGTTTGTATCTGTTTATGCTTACAGGCACTTAAGCTTAACACTTTTCACTTGTCTCCTCTGTGTTGTTTATTCTGTAATTTTTCTATTTTACTTTGTATCTATATCCACTCACGTCCCCATTAATACTTTTTTATTTTCTTTATTTAGCAAATTTAGCACTTAAATAGCCTTATAACATTCCAAAGTTGTTCATGTCGTATGAGCAACTTTAATCACTGCGATTTTCGACATATTTTTATGGAAAGCTCCTGCACCCGTGCTTGTGTATAATGTTAACAATGAAAGTGTTAAATGTTGGTGAGATGGTTTAATAAATATAAAAATGTCACGGTTTTACTTGATTAGCTGTTAATATTCGCCGGGAAATAACGTGTAAAAAAGATATTATATTTTTCATAGTTTCTCTGCTGCCTCTACTGGCCTCATTTAAAAAAATGTAACCTGAATTTAATATTTTGCACAAAAATCTATAAAATTATGTCTTTTGTTTCTCTTTTTTATGATGGTAGGGTAATTTTCTCCTAATGGGACATTCTCATGGAAATAGTCGGTATTTAAGAATTTAATGAGTACTTCATAGTAGTGTCACAATTTTAGTTTAAAAAGTGGAACACAATAATAATGTATAAATGAAATACTGGCGAGAAAGAACCTACTTTCTGGTTTCTATTGTTTTTTAATCAACAAATTTAGTTCCTTCAAAGCAAGTTGTAAATCACTTCATCATAAAATGAGCGTAAAATGTTTTGTAAATGAATATAATGAAACAAAGTTAAATAGTTTAAAATAAGTTAAATGAATAAAATAAAATAAAATAAAATAAAGTAGAATGAAATAAAATAAAGTAGAATGAAATAAAGTTGAATGAAGTAAAAATTTGCATAACGAATAAAATTTGTTCTGAATGAAACGAAAGTAATGTACATCTAGGAAAAGAGTGTTAATTCACTCTTTTAGAATTGCCAAGTGTTCACAAACTGATATAAACCTTTCAGAGACATTAATTAGAACGAATCTAACTAAGTTTCGAAGCTACTCTTCATAGAGGTTATAGAAATTAGAAAGAATAAAGTTACATTGGGTGCAAGAAGGCAGAACAGTTATCAATGAAAGATGTATCCATGATAAGCAGATACCTAACTCGTGATAGTAGTTAAAAAATCATAGATGGTAAGAGTTCTCAATGTGACAGAAAAAAATTAAACGTGTTAATTGGACCCAGTTAATCGCAGAAGAATTTGAAGCAGCACTACTGTTGACAACAAAGAAATTTATTGGAAGTTGATAGACGAAACCTATATATATATTCTGATTACTTTCACGTGGGAGAAGCAGATAATGTAGACTTCCGGTTGAAGAAAAGTGAATTCTTTTCTTAAAACTAAGGTTTCATAGTAGTAATACAAAATGTGGTGTTATCAACTTCATTTTAAAATATATGGATGATAAATGGCGACGATTTAGATAATTAAAAGAAATAATACAATATATAAAAACAGAATATACCATCTCAATAGTAGATAAATATATCATATGACATAATATAAGCAAGATAATATATCAAGCACTGATAAAAGCGGATGATTAAGTAGCAGAAGTGAATCCATATTTTAAATAATTTCCGCTTTCATTACCAGGATAATATATTGTGGGAAATTTTAACTTTTTTATAAACACTAATAAAACAGACATTATAACACTAATGCAGATAACAGTAAAAATTTAATCGGGATGTTTGACACTAAAGCACTATTTAATAGAATCATACAGACCACATAATTAATCAAATTTGTGAAATACACACACCTGTAATACTGATATGAATCCATTAAGTGTAGGGACTGCGAAAGATCGGGATTACATTAATGATACTATCGTAAAATGAATCGGTTCCATAGAGCTTAAAAATGAGCAGAGGAGAAAAGAGAAGAGCTACATTACAACACATATACATACATGCGTTGTATATTAAAATAATAAATTCAATTAGGCAGCTTGATTAATCCCTAAAAGTTTTTTTAGAGATAATATACTACTACATACGTTAGAATTGACTCCAATAGAGATGATACGGAACATATGTGCTAAAGTTAGCAGATTCCCTAAACTTTGTTAAACTCGTTCTCACTTGTTAAAAGTGTTTAAAGAAGCAATAGTTTTGGATGCTGTTCCATAGTTTGAAGACACCTAAACTAGTAACTGAGTCAAGTTGTGACATCGGTTAACGGGTGTAGAGCTCTGTCACAACAGATCACAATTTCTGGAAAAATTATATTCGGAAAATGTAACATTCAGTTGAGGTTATTTTAATTTCATTATGATAAATAAATATTAATTTAAATAAAAAAAAATAATTCACATTTTTTTTTATTATTTAAACTCTTTTTTTTTGTATAAAATCATATTAAAAAGAAAACTGTTTATTCTCACTTAAAAGTATTTTTTATTTTATTTCTAAAAATATTTTGTTTCCATATTTTTTTGTTTTTCTATTTTCTATTTTTTTTTTTTTATTTAAATTAAATTTATTATGACAAAAATATTTCTTGTTACTTTACGCTATCCTCCTTTTAAATTTATGCAGTAATAAAAATCCTATTATGCGTTAAAATCCCTCCTTCATCCTTAATTTCTAAATGTGTTAAAGAATTTAAAAAGCCACTCGTTTCGACTTTGCTGATTTATAATTCAACTAGACTTGGGTGAGCATTAAAAAATTTAAATTTTTAGAAACTTTTGTAATAAAGCTTAAAAATAAAATTATATTTTTTAAATAGCATCGCGTCTTGTGTAGATACTACGGAGTTGAGAAGGGTTTGAATGTGTAACATAATAATTTTTGTTTTATTAATAATGCAATGCCATATAACATAATGTTTGCTACAATAAAATCGTAAAGGTCATTACACTCAGATAATTACATCAGACCTATTTAATTCTATGCACTCCACATTTTAGAGGCTCCAAACTATACAGACTGAATACAACTGTGCTACCTTGATAGACAATAAGATCTGGCTATAAGACGATATGACTTTTTTGGACTTATGGACGGTCAACACTTAACCAACCAATGAGTATTAGCTATATTTGTTATTATCTATGGTTTTCATATAAAAATAATTAATACTAAATAATTAAATAAATA